TTTTCTGATGACGAGTGGCTCATCAGCCGTTTTGAGGAAAAATCATTTTTTAGTTTGGCATTGCTGCGCTCTGGGAGCGCGACGCAGCGTGGGGCCGTGCACCGCACGTGCAGCAGCAGCAGCGATTGAACTGGGGTTCCACAGGAGCTTTCCAGAGGGAGCTGGCAGACCCATCAGGACTCAGTCCAGTCCAGTCCACCCAAAGCTGAGTCATGACCAATGGAATCGCATCATCCATATGATTCTAAAGGCTGAGTTATGGTCGCACTCTGGAGCACGCACCCTCGCCGGCAGTGGAGATGTTTCATACGTTGTTGTAGATTTCTCCAAAATGACATGTGGAAGTACACTTTACAACTTGTGAAAATGTAAGTAGGAGAGCAAAATCTTGACAGACAAACAGACTGCACACAAAGGCTGCGGTGCTCGCAGCGTTTGTGGAGACTCTCCAACATCACGTCACGTCATGTGAACTCTACTGAGAGGCAGAGACTCGTTTCTTAATATCAGCTGTGAAATAAACAAAGATCTATGTTCTACCAAACATTTAAGTTCCTCTGTGTTTACAGTAAGTATGGGAATAAACTTGTGCGCAAAGTTAATATTTTCAGACTCAGAATGGATGGATGAGCTGGTTGCGCAACACAGCAGCGTGCACACACACATCGACGCACAATCACTCGTTCTTTGCGTGACAAACATATTTTATTCCTATTTTTACTTAGGATTTTTTTTCACACTCACGTTTTATTTAATTCATTATTTTTATGACATTAGAAATCATTTCTGATCGCGCAGGGATCAAACAAACGTGTCCTTCACACATGCAGGAAGTAATTTGCATCTGCTTAACATCTGTTAATGAAGGCGTGTCAGGGGAGGTGTCTCACATGCGCTCAGTTCCACGTTAATTGTGATGTACAAAACAAATGTGCGTGGATTCAGGCGTACGCACAGTTTGATACATCTGGATTTTTTTGTGCGTACGCCGTTTTCTGCATTTGACCGTACGTCAGGCTTCAGTAAGAAATCCACGCAAGTCTTTGTACATGAGGCCCCAGGACTGCAGCTCAGGCCCTCTTGTGTTGACTGAGAGTCAGTAGTGAAGACCTCTGTGAAACTAACATTTCTAAACGTTTCTAAAGTTTCTAAACGTTAAAAAATCAACCACGACATCCACTGTTGGATTTGTCTACCGTCAGGGTACTAACAGAAATACTATTTGCAGACACTATTGTAAATGAGCTGGGTAAACTACACAGACCCACACAAAACATTTCATTTAAAGGGATCTATAGTTAGTTGTAACATTAGACTTTATTTGATAAACATATTTTAACTGTAAAATAAAGACTGTAAAAATACTGTAGGCTGTTCAGTTTTGTAAATTTTTAAAAAATATATTTGAACATGGACTGAGCCATTTTTTTACACCCAAAGCATTCTGGGTAAATGATGACGTGGATAGGTCCTCGGTGTGAGGGAGCTATATCCACCCTGAAGGTTAATCTTGGACAATATCTGATGATCGACTCTTTTAAATGAAACCAGAGAGCGTTGACAGAG